AAGAACAGAAGTGTTTCCAAGTTTCTGCCGATGAAAACAGTATATCCTTGAGGGTTGAGAGTTCATCTTTTTTTCTCCGAGTTTTTCTCGGCATTGTGCTCCTGATTTTAAAATGTTGTATTCGACACTTTAAAGGAAAACAAATTAACTGTTCTTGAAAATATTGATTTGTTCGTAGCAATTTGGCAGCGTCCGAAAGTTAAAAATGAAATTATGAAGAAAATGCATATGTACTCTCAAAAATGAACCTATTAACGGGAGAAATTCGGCAACGTCAAAAGTTTTATACGGCATTTTCCTTAGCACGACGGAATTGCTCACGAAATGGTTTTCTTTGTCATGAAAAATCGGATTTTTCTCAGTGGGTATACTACTTTTAACACCACCAGCGGACCAGCGCCCCCCCCCCCCCCCCCNGATCTACCCCTCCTCTCGGGATTTCCTGGCTTGGAGGGCTATGAGACTCTTACGTACAAGATGACGGAAATTTACAGGAAATCTCAAGCTAGAATGTTGATCAACTCTCTTTCAAAATATCAGAGGAAATCTTGCAATGTAACTTTTTCCTTTCTCATCATCAAAGCCACCCACAAAAATTGGATTACAACACTGTCCTTTGTAAAGACATAAAAACCAATAGTATTTACACAAAAATCAATCGAAACAAGGTCACTCCCGAGTTGGAGCGGGAGAAGGTACTAAAATATTACTAGAGGTCTGTAACAAGTGCTCGATGAGAGACGATTGACAACTTTTTAGACCACCGGTGAGTCCGCCTCTGCTCCAGAATTTCTTTTATCTTCCTCTCAGCTCCTTTTATGGTTGTTCCTCTTTTCCACTCGTCTGGTGGCCGAATAAATTCTGATCAAGACCTATCTTTCAGAGGTTAGTGATCTCGATTTTTTCACATTTTGTCTCTGTCTTCTCCACCCCTCCCACTCATCGCGGGTTTTGTCAAAACAACCGACGCCGGTTTTTTACGCCCATGTTTGACGTTCGGAAAGAGACGATTCCATCGAATGCGGAAAAGAAAGTAAAAGCCGACTAGAAATTACCGTTTTCGTTCCGAGTCTCGAGACTCGTCAAATAACAATATAGTAATATCTACTAACTGTTTTTATTATATTTATTACTACTGAGAAAGTTTACCTTGATTGAAAGCGGTCATTCCCGCCCGGCAAGTGGTTGCCTGAAGTAGATGCGGAAATGTTGTCACAATGTAACTGCCAAAAATAATGTTGCGGCAACGTTGCAGCAACGTTGTGGCAATGTTACTTTTGGCCGTTGCCGGATTGGCGCGGAGAACCAAGCACGAGCTTTTGAAAAGAAAACCACGCCCCTTTGGAATACGTGAATTTGTATGGGCCGCTTGAAAGTTTGGCTAGAAAGTTTAGAGAACGGATAACCATCTGCTGTCGGATCGATCGAAATGCGAATTGATAATTTCCCGATAAGAAATTTTCGTTGAGTCAACAGAAAATCTTGTTTTAAATGGTATTTAAGTAATTCAGACGGATATCCTGTCACTTTGAGGAGTCTTCCGGTTGACTCAATGCAAATTTTTGTGCGGGAATAACTACCTAGAGAATTTGTTTCCAGTAAGTAATGAAGATAAAAAAAAAAAACATTTTTATCCCAAAGAAGAGGAAGAAAAAACTATGTTGATTAAGATGTTTAGAATTTTAAACTGTATTCCAGCTCCTCCAAAACTGTCAACAGACTGGAAAATTTGATAAATGAGCTAAAAGAGAAACAATGTTTCGGTTTATTTTTCAACGATGATCTAAAATTAACTCTAGTAGAATCATTTACGCTTGCTTAAAGGTCTTGAAAGCCTATTCATATAATTTAGCTGGCATCGAGAATAAAGATTAAATAAATAAATAAATTAATATTCGATAAGTTAAAGTAATAAATAGAGGTGTAAACGTAAAATCAGTCCATTTACAGGTTCACAGTATTTGAGTCAATAATCTATTTAGTATACGAAAAGAAAAGCTTTCAAGAAGAAACCCTCTATTGTATGTGACACCCAAACTATCGCAAATATTACACTAAAAAAAGTTTACAGCGATTAACTGATAACCGGTGAAACTAACGTGACAAGCATCAATGATTCCTCGAACATGTTTACACAACAACGAGTCACAAAGTTTGAAACACCTGATCCCTCGGTATACTAGCAAGCAATTTCTTCCCAAACTTTTGAGAACGCTTTTCATTTTTAAATATAATCCACAATTTTAAGTACATAAAAGTTCCGAGGAAAATATTTAGTCAATCCGTGGACACTACTTTACATTGAGTCTCTAGAGATTATTAAAATAAATAAACAAACACAAGGCGTATTTTTCAAATCAAACATAAACATAATTTAGCGGATTTTAGAGGAAAATCGATAAAGAAAAATTGTCTCACTATGTGCGCTTTTAAGAGATGAAAGAAAAAGTGATGGCGACAGAATGATCACTTGACGTTTTGAGCAAAGTTCATTGAAAAACACGCCCTCTACAAATCTGGAGCATCAATATAATTGAATTTATATACTAAAGGTAACTTTACATATAGCAAGTTTCCAAGCTGATAATGATTAATCTCCGTTGTGGGAAACTCGCGAATTGAAGAGAAATTTCAAATTTTTACTTCGTTAACTAAATTGTATATTCTTGCGCACAATCATGTAGGAGACGATTTAAGAGGCTTTTAACGAATTTCGGTCGTCAAATTAAGACTTTCCATAATCGCTCAGCGGGCGGATTATTTAAATTAATGGACAAAACGATACACAAAGAACACAAGGAGAAAATGGAGAGCTATCGTATTGAGTGGGAGGTCGCAATGGACAGAGAGGGTAAGTAATTGCCTAACTAACGGCAAGAGATCTTATAGTTAATTCAACATTTTCCTCAAATGTCCATTGGAACCACTCGCTTCCACTGACAGGATCGTTTCATTTTGCCTGTATTATTTTTGTCGGTAGCTTTGTCTATCAATTTAAATAACCAGCCTGCAGATTTTTATGCGAATACATTTGGCGTGGAAAGCGTGTTAAAGTCCAAATTACATAATTGTTGCGTACAATTCAACGAAGATGCTAAAAGAGAAAAATTAAATTGGCCTAGTTTTAGAAACAAAATTAAACAGATATGTTTTTCTTAGGAACAACGGTAAATTTTCGATACTTAAGTTTTATTTTTTTATTTTAGGAGACTATTACTTTGGTATCCTCTAGCTTATACCATGTAATATTATTACTCTCTTCCCCACTCTGTACAAGCAAAATTATACAGAACACTTACATCTAGTGAAAATGGGCACGATTTTGTAACAATTAAAATTACACTTAATTTAACAACAGCTCATGCGCAAATCAGATAGATTCATTGTTAAATAATATTAAATTGTTAAAATGAATAAAAGACGCCGTTTTCTCTCGGGTTGATGTATAAATAACGTGAAAATTTAATCAACACAATCTCAATAATTTAAGTTGCTTAGTCGTAACCGAAAACAATGAGATCTGAAAAACATGAGAAAATTTGAGGAAACGTAGAAAACTGAGCTTTTAGAAATTTTGGCATTTTGCGCACAACCAGCATGCACTCTGAGACATTATTTGTTTAAAATGAGTACAGGGTTTTTAGACTACTGTGATGTTATTTTTCATTAAGTATCCTTTTTTATCGGAATCAATAAAAGAAAGAAAAAAAGATGAATTTTCTATTTGCCGCGGTTTGCGGGATTAAAAATTTGAATCAGTTTCAGAGAAGTGAATGATTACCTATTATCGGCCCACTACAACTTTGAGGTGTAAGTGAAGTTGGTGTGAGGAAATGTTTGAGCTGTTTAGATTCACAAAGAAACAAGGCATGTGTTTTGCCGGTGTTTAAAATTAAATACTCGAAATCTATGACGTAAAAACAAACCAAAATAATCAATTGACGACTGAAAATGGCATGAAAACTTAAAAGTTTTTTTCCTACCTTGTCTTCTGTCTGCTAGTGTAAAATTTCTACAAGAGGAACGATAGAGCAAGAGTAGATTCAGAAGAACAAAAGCGTAGTCCTAAAATTTTGGGCTGCTTTTCATGCGCAGACCCTCTTCATAGCTGGATTCCGCAAAAGAATGTTGATACGGAATTTTTGACATAGACCTATCGGTTGAGTTGAAACTCTAATGCTATGCAAGATCCTCAACTCTTCCACATACAGCCAGGAATTAACACTTAGACATCTCGGGCAACAGTGCAGGGTTGGGGCTCAAAGCTGGAAAATTAGAATCTATTCATGATATCCAATAAATGGGAGAAGAATTCGAATTAGCCTGAATTAAGGAGAAAGAAACCGAACTACAATTACAGGAAAGATTTTGAACAAAATTAGTCGCACATTTACTTCTGTCGAAAATTTAAAGCCGTGAAAAAATATTTTGAACGTAAAAACTTAAACTGTAGTCAAAGCATTGTGTCTTACGGAGAAAAACCAACGTCCAGCTCCTTTTTAAGTATTCCAAATGTTTCAAAAGACTTGCGGCTCCTTACTCCTGAATTCAATGGTCAGAGACGCAAAAACGTAAGAACGTAAAACCATTGCAATCATTCAAAATTTCTACTAACAATCGTATTTTCCTTGGAAATCAATGGAAATGTATAATTCTTGCTGAGGATGATAAGAATAATTTCGAACAGATAATGTTCGGTCATTTCCGTGTAAAAAAACGAATTGTTACCGGTGAAATTTGCAAGTTGAAGGTAGAGATCCGTGCCTACATCCGAATTCCAGTACTCTCCACACTACTGCCGTGCTAGGGAAAAACGCCGTATGAGCTTCAGGCGTTGCCAAATTTCCTCTGGCAAATCACTAATTTTCAAGATAATTTTTGAATATTTTCCCGTCAATTTCTCAAATGATTTTGTTCGAAATTTGATCTAAAGTGTCTGAAAGTTTCAAGGAAAAATATTCATAATTTTCCTCAAAAATAAACATCTTATCCAAGAAAATTTGGCAATTCTCGGATGTTCATACGGTGTTCTTCCTTAGCACGGCAGACCAGGCCCCGACCGCTGCGTCCGTATCACAGTCCGGAGCTAGTGCCGGCACCGCCCGCGAGAGCGCGCTCTATCACAGTGGGGCGTGCGTTCCGCGTTCCCCGAGCCTACACGCAGGTGTGGACGGTCTTCTTAAAGCGGCAGAGCTTGCACTTGACCTCGCAGCACCAGTGGAAGGTGCACGAGCACCGCTCGACGACGGTCACCTCCTGGGTGCGGTACCCCCTGGAGCAGCACATGAGGTCGCACCCGTCGACGCCGATCGAGGTCTCGTTGCAGACCCGCCCTTGAGTCCCCAGGACGCCGAGCTTGGGGTTGCGCTCGCAGAAGTTGGGCGAGGACTCGAGGTAGACGAGGTCCTTGACGCCGGGCGGCTTGTGGTCCGGGTTGTAGGGCTTCAGCTGGGAGTTGTAGCGCATCTTCTTGTAGTTCTGCCCGCGCATGGAGCCGGCGTTGCTGAGCGCCACCTTGGAGGCGCCGTCGAAGCGGTCCTTCAGGTGGTCGCCCACCGTCCGGAAGCTGGGCAGCCGCATCCAGCAGGTCCGCACCGTGCAGGAGCCGGACATCCCGTGGCACTTGCAGTCCTGCCACATCCCGGTCGCCACGTGCTGGAACACACAGAAAACCGAGCGTTGTTAGACACGTAGGAAGGGTTACATGAAGATTTCGTCAGAAGCGGATCCAGCGATTTGGTTACACCGGGGTTCCTCACGGGAAAAAAGTTGCTCATTCATTAATTCAATTGCTAAAATCAGTGAGTGCAATGTTTCAACGCAGATTTTACAACAAAAAAAATGCTACTTTAACCACCCCCGTGGTTAAATTAGTTTACAATGTGGTTAAAGTAGCATTTTTTTGTTGTAAAATCTGCGTTGAAACATTGCACTCACTGTTTTTAGCAATTGAATTGTTGAATCAGCAATTTTTTTTTCCTGCGCTCAATTATAACCTATGTTAAATAATCAATTCTTCTCGGAACGTCTGAAAGCCCGGAACCCCCTTCAAGAATCGATACATTTCCATAGGTTTAAATGGAGAAAAACAGTGTTGCCAATTTGCTAGATCCGCCGATGGATTTCGTAGATATGGGGGATATAATACAAGGTGAAAGTAGGTAGATGGATGACACGAATAGTATCGCAATTTGTGGGCTGATTATTTAAATTGATGGACGAAGACACAAAGGGAAAATGAGGGTTTTCCAGGTGGCTTCGTTGCTGTCACAAGTTCACGTGAGTCCGCCTATGCTTGTGCGAATCGCTAGAGACTTAAACGCTGGAGTAAGAAAGTAAGCGAAAATTTCGAATTCATTTTCGACCGAAATATGAAGGAAAAAAACAAGGAAAATGAATCGTTAATCCGGTGTTATTGGAAGATCGAATCGGTAAGTCTCGATCTTGCAATAACAGTGAATTGACGATTCATTTTCCTTGTTTTTACATTTTCCGATTGAAAATGAAAGTGCAATATTTCGAAATTTCTCGTTTTTTCATTTAATTTTTGTCTTTTGGTTTTTGCCACATCTTCCTTGATTAATTTCTTGTTTCCTTCCTTGGAGATCTTACATTCATGGGCACATAAACATCCTTATTATATGATAGAAATGATAAGCTTCCAACAATTTATGCTAACTCTCTCACAGGAAAAAATTCCCGGTGTAGTGTCACTAATCACCTCTTATTGTATCTATGTGGCAACATCGGTTTAGATTTAGCGAACCATTTATTTTCCTTCGATTCAGATTTATTGCTGTGTTTTATATGAAAACCCCACGTGTTGATTCCCCGGTGACGGCAGTAATGGGTGGAGTTCATAAAGAGTCGAGCTATTTTAAAAATGCATTTTGAGTATATAAACCCGTAAACCCGTTTTCCCGCGTAAAAATGTAATAAACCATCCGGAACGACTCCGAAACTATTTCAGAGCGTTGCGTGAGTGAGCCTTGGAAAGTTTTTTGAAAGCTATCATTAAGCACCATTTTAAACGACCTACGACTCGAACCTAGTTTTTACGGTTTACTGCCAGTCAGCAAAACGTATTTTATGCCATTTCATTTTTTTTCTTTTATTTTTCCCCCGGCATTTTTCATTAAATGGGCCAATAGACGCACATATTTATCCAACAACAGCTTCTTTGAGGAGAAACAATGCTCTTTCGATGGGACGAAGCGTTGCCAAATCGAACATGAAAATACCAATTATTTTACATTGTGTCCGGAAAAATCCGCAATATCTGACAACGGTCAATGAAATATCAATCGCGATGACAATTTTTTTTAGAACATAAAGTATGACATTACATTTATTTTCATTTCTTTGGAGAGCACTTTTCCGTTTAAAAGCTCCGTTAGGCGTAAAACTATAGCTTTCTTTGGCCGATTAAAAATACCCGACGCCTATTACATTCATCACATGTGAACTTTCGCCTATGATTGAACACGTACTTAAATTAAGTTTTGTATTATTAAATCTTTAGGCAGCCATTGAAATTAGGGCATTTTTGAAGTTCTTAAGCAAAGGTAGATCTCTCCAAAGGGTAAGACGGGTAAAAGGGGAATGTAAGGTAATGATGTATGGTAATGTAGGGTAAGTAAATATAACATTGTCTTATTTCATTCAAAGGCCTTTTCTAAGTTTTTAACGATGAGAGGTCTATTTTTAATCGCACTGTCTTGCGCGTGTTTAGATATCAAGAGCAACAAAATCTAAAAAAATACTCTGAAAATTTAATCCAGGATGAAAATATGCTGATGACAATTATTTTTGGCGTATCTCCTAATATAAGAAAGCGTGAAATGCTGAAGTGTTGGGCTAGCTTTTTGAGAAACACGCGCGAGGTGAAGAGACAAAGTATTGGACTTGTATGACTCATGTCGAACTAAAACGAACAAAGCCAATTTGTCGTCTCCTATTAATACCTCGGTCTTCCTGTCACTCTGCGCAAATAGACGAAAATAGCTATTCAGTAAACCAAGAAGTATCGTCTGTTGATTTCTACTATCTCGTTCCGACGCGAGTCGCGTGCAGGGTCGAGGAGACGCAAACTTCGTTGACACTAAAATAGCCTTCAATTTCTCGTATGCAACCCGCGCGGCAAGCATACGTTATCAACGAGAGCGGTTTAGACAAGAAGAAAACAATGTTAGTCGGCGTGGATTTAGGAAAGTCATCGGTTGTTGCTTAACAGTTGTAATTCCGTAAATTTGAGGTTTTTTTTTTTTTTTTTTTTTTTTTTTTTTTTTTTAAAAATCAACATTTTTATCAAATTTATTCGAATAGTTCAGACCAGTTAATAGCGGCTGAACTCCGATCAACATCGGTTGCTGAATTTTGCGCGCATATATATGGGCACCACCCGACAACAGACCGATGACTTCCACAATAAGCTCTCCATGCTGTGTGATTCAAGCATTAGGGTTATTACAGTTAGAGTACTTATAAAGAAAGAGTACGAACATGTCGAAATATGGAGATCCTAGGGCTCAAAAGGACAGCCGACCCTCTGACACAAAAAATGTCACTGCCCATCTTCAGATTCCAATATCAACCAATATGACCAAAAATGTTTATTAATAAGCGTTCATCCGCAAAAATGAGTAAATTTCTGCAAAAACTAAGTCAGATACGTGCGTCAGAAACAATGGGTCGTAACAATTGTAATAATAAACCACTCTGGATTATTTGAATCCATAGGTATATGCTGGCTGCCCTTTTGGGCCCTAAAAGCAGAGACAAGAGACTCTACACTAGTATCTTGGCAATGGTGGAAGCTTTTCTTTTCGAGACTTCAACATTCGACTGTTGACCTACCAACTTGGTTGATGGTTAAGCAGTTTCGTTTTGCAAACAAACCGAAGTTTGGGAAACTTGGTCGGCTCATGACGTCACTCGAAGCTCATCATCCACCAAGTAGGTAGGTCAACAGCCGAAAAAAGGGTGATGACTGTTGCTCCCTTGTAAATGTCCATAAGGAACAGAAACAAGAGACCCTCCACTAGTATCTTGACCATGGTGGAAGCTTTTACTTTCGGGACTTCAACATTCCACAGATGACTTACCTACATGGTTGATGTTGAACAACAGGTTGGCAGTTTCATTTTGCAAACAAGCCGGAAATGGCCGAAGTTTGGGAAACTTGTTGAACGTCATCTGAGGCTCATCATCCACCATGTAGGTAAGTCAAATGCCGAAATTAGGGGATGATGGTTGCTCCCTTATGATTGTCCATAGGGAGCTATTAAATCCCCGAAAGTCAAATCTTCCATCTGTCGCCAAGAGGCCAGTGGAGGGTCTCTTGTCTCTGATAAGGAAGTGTTGACCCTAAAAGTAAAAGCTTTCACCTGTCACTAAGAGGCCAGTGAAGGGTCCCTTGTCTTTTTGGCTCTCCCTATACAGACACTTTAGGTAGAGTTTGCATCCAGGGTTGTCTATAAGAGGGTTGTTAGGTATTGCGACTTGGACTTACCGCTCGGCCGGCCTCGTTGTTGTGGAGGTTCATTTTCTCGCGGAGGTTGCGACCCCGCTCGCCGGCGTCGACGAACTCGCGGGAGAACTTGAAGCCGAAGCCGATGTTGTCGGAGCAGCCGCCCCACTCCCAGTTCTTGACGCCGGGCACCGTGTTGTGCTTGAGCGGCGCCCGCGTCTGGTGGCTGTAGTCGCACGTGCACGACTCGATGCTCCCCTCCGCGCACGAGCGAGCCACCGCGTGCGTCACCGCCGCCGACGTTATCGCGTAGATGAACGCCGCTTCCCGGCAACCTGAAACAGAAGAAAATCCATCCATCGTTAGGTCAATTGCTCAAAAGAGATAAATGAATGAACAAAATGGGAAGTACAAAAATGAGGGGAGGGAGGTTGTCGGAGAAGGTCCGGAATGGAGATGTTGCATGTGTGAGGAATTTGCGATTTGACTACTGATTCTTACGTAAAAGTTCGCGAAAAACACGATGGTGCCACTGGTTTTCTCTGAAATCAACTCCCAAGCTCAAAAAAAGCTCTCAAGTTGAGGCTAAAATGGAGGGGATATCCCACCCTACCCTGAGAGTCCACCTCTTCATCAATACGAACTCTCCATGCCAAAGATAGGGAGCGAATACATTAGCAGGGATGCCGTGTTTTCAGTCTTAGAGTCCCCAAATAAAGTGGCAGCCCTGTCAATGTATTTGCTCCCTATCTTTGCATGGAGAGTTTGTCTTGATGTAGAGGTGGACTCTCAGGATAGCGTGGGATATCCCCTTCATTTTGGCCTCAAATTGAGAGCTTTTTTGAGCTTGGGAGATGATTTCAGAGAAAACCAGTGGCACCATCGTGTTTCTCGCGAACTTTTACGTGAAAATCAACAGTCAAATCGCAAATTCCTCACACATGCAACATCTCCATCTAGAGTCTTTAGCCCCTCTGTAGATTGATGAAACAGATGCCACACTGGGAAAAAAACACATTGGATCTAGAGTCCAGACTCTTAAAAACATCGACGGGAAAAAGTACTCTTGATTCAATCAGAATATAGCTTAAATCAAGAACGAAGCCTCTTAATTTAAGCGGATTTCGTTTTGATCCAAGCAAAAATCCGATTGAATCAAGAGTATTTTTTCTTGTCAATGTTTTCAAGAGTCTGAACTCTAGCTCCAATGTGTTTTTTTTTTTTTTTTTTTTTTTTTTTTTTTTTTTTTTCCAGTGCAGCAACATGAGCTCAGAATCCGAGTGATAGACACTCGAAGATCTTCCAGTCAAGAGTAAAGACGAGTAAAAGAGTGAGTTCCTCGACGAGGTGTAAAACACCCGATCGGAAGACAAGATCTCGGTGAATTATGCGTGAAATGGCATTGTTTTCCGGGAAACAATTTAAGCGCGGATGCTGAGCGCTCCGGTTGGGCAGCTAAGTAGGAAGTGGCTGTTTACAAATCTTCCGCTCGGGCGCTCCTCGGACGGAGATTACTGCCCTCCTAAACCTAAACCACGTAACTCTCATGGGCGACCCTATGCAGATGCGATGTTTTCGATTAGCATGGCAGATTAGGGTATCGAGCGCCTATCCATTTCAGCCTCGGCGACCGCTTTGTCTCGGGTCGGGGTGGGTGTCATCCGAGCCACCTCTGAAATTCATACCGAGCCTTAATTGCCCAGATCCCTCGCCCGCACCGAAAGGGGTCTCCTCGCGCCGATGGACCGCATCTCGCAGAAAAAACATCCCTATATCGCCTTGGATGCCTACAAGGTAGAATGGATGACCAAAGCCAATATATTCTCGAGACCCTGCATCAACAATCTATGAGATGTAATCGAATGAAGCGAAAGTTGGATTTGGAGGTAAAATGATATTAATCGCCTACTGGTGGTTCATGAGCTGGGTGCAAAAAGGGCGTATCTTAGTTACAGCACTGGAAAAAAAAACACATTGGATCTAGTGTCCAGACTCTTGAAAACATTGACAAGAAAAAATACTCTTGATTTTATCAGATTTAAGCTTAAGTTGAAAGGAAATCCGCTCAAATTAAGAGGCTTGGTTCATGATTTAAGCTAGATTCTGATTTGAAGTATTTTTTCTTGTCGATTTTTTTAAGGGTCTGGACTCTAGATCCAATGTGTTTTTTTTTCCAGTGAATGTCTCAAAATCTCCGCTAAAGTTTCACCAATTATATTTGAAGCAAATGTATTTAATTTGTTGTAACTTTTACTGAATATCCTTCATGATTTTACAATGCTGAAAATTTAAAATTTCAGAGAATTGACCCTATGGTTTCTTCTCTAAAATAACAATTAGCACTGGAGATTCTAAAGCATCGTAACTAAGAAATATCCTTTTTGCACCCACCGCCTCAATTACTTTGGGGGAAAAAACGAAACTGTGTTAGAATGCACTTAAAATGGGATATAGCAGAAGATATGGAAGATAGCATAGCTGAGTTTCTAAAACAAATTGTCTCCTTCTATAAAATTTCTCTACCTAATTAAAAGGAAAGAAATGTGGCAACTCTGGAAAATTCATACGGCGTTCTTCCGTAGCACGGCAGAATTTACCAGTTGCGGAACGCGACGACGTGCTTTATTTGTTTGTTTTTTACTTTGCTCATTTTTTCAGATCCAATTTCTATTCGGGTTACGCCACAACAAAAGGGAAGATTAGGTGGTGTCTTCCCCCGCAAAAGCGCACCCTCGGTACGGGCGGGGACTTCTGAGCCGGTGAAAAAAATACGTTCCGATTAATAAGTAATACGTGGAAATGGGCCGTATTAGCAACAAAAAGATGATTACAGGTTACGTCTAGACGGAAACCGAGTTTTTTATTTCGGGTCCACCCTTGCCTTTTAATTAATGTATTGCGAATGTTTGGAAAAAACAACCCCCGAGTCGAGGGGGATGAGAGAAGCCTTTGAAAGCCGCTCAAAATATGTCCGGACGGCTCCCGTGTGCATTGCTGCAATTCACCGCATTTCGAATTTTCGACCACCCCCATGCTATGATGAAAGTTGGAAAAGACGTACTTCGATTGCAAAGTTTCAGAGTCTCCAGTATTTCAAATTTATCTTTTATCGTTGGAAACTTGATAGAATTTTCTGTTCATAAATTGGATCGCATGTAGCAAAAAGGAATCAGCGAGATTTCGGTGTTGTAAAAATATTACTTCTTCACAATAATCCAAAATACCTACTAGGAAAGCAGATAGTTTGTGTTTTCTCAAAAAAAAATATTTAATTGTAAAGGAAAATAATTCGTCCACTTTTCTACGATTTTCCTTTTCAGAAAAAAATAATAAAAAATACCGCGAACTCAGTTCAACGACCACTCTTAAGTGAAGCAATAAAATTTGTTCGCACAAACTCTCTATCACGCCGATGGAAAACCCAAAATAAAAAATTCACCGCGGCAACCGTGTTAACCGGCGCACGAACTCGCGAGCAACTTACGAAAATATGAAATAGCATCCGCGGTTTTCGACGTCAAAAGAACCCTCAGGAAATGCAAGCGAGGGCATCAAACAATCGCAACCCTCTGTATAGCCGGCTGCTTAAAAACATCAAAAAAACATCCACAACCCTGGAAGGAAGGGAGGGGGTAATAGCCCGGATCCTCGCGATGCAAATGTCACCAGAGCGGAGCTGGACACTACGGTCAGCGCTCCTTTATGCGCTTTCGGCGACGCGGAGGATGACCATTCAAAACGCGCTTTGAGCAGGATCAATTGCAGACGAGCTTTTTAATTAGCCCCGGCTAAAAGCGGCCGCGGGGTTGCCGGACGGTACATTCCCACCCCCTCGAACGAGGGATCATTGAAGTCGCGAGTGGCCGGCCCCACCCCCCGTCCTTCGGCGACCTGCGTGCTCAAAGGGGTGGGTATTTCTCAAAGCGGCTGGCGTTGCGTCATGAATGGAGTAATTGGTCGCTCCTTTTGAAACTTCCCAGACGGGACGGGCTATTTTCTGCCCATTGAATTAGTCTCCTTCCGAGCGGCGATTTTTGCATCGGGCCATTATTCTGCAACGGCCGCTACGACGACTGCTCGCTGCCCGGCTCTCAATGGAGCCGAGTTCTGAGACTTTCCTTCCGAGTCTTTGATGTTCGTCTTCGAAGTTTTGATTAATTGAGAGACCGTTTTTTGAGTCCATTACGCCCTTCACAGAGAGGAACTTTTAATTACGGTTGCCGGCTAATAAATGGCGGAATCTTGATTTTGGTGCTCGAATGAAAGCTCGAAACTGTACTTAGAAATTGGATTGCATTTTGCAAAAAGGAACCAGAGGCATTGCAATGGTGCTAAGATTGTGCAACTTCATCCTTTGCAATGAAATTACTGAAACCATGAAAAAATATGAAATTTACTTAATAATTTTTGTCTTAAATCTATAGTTTTTAGCGAGTAAAATAGGAACTGTAAATGGATAATCAGGTTTTTCTTCGAAGACAAAAGAAGATGCACAATTTTAGCAACATTGCAATGCTCCTTGTTCCTTTTTGCAAAATGCAATCCAATTGTAAGTGCAGTCTTTGACGGAACTCTGCACATCTGGACCGTGCATTCAGTAGCATTGCAATTTTACGTCTTAGTCTTTAAGATTCTGTTGCAAAAAATGAAATCTAGAGACTAATCATTGACATTGGTAGACAAAGCGGTTGACAAGGAAGACAAAGGAGAAGTAGAACGATCCTGTTGGTTGAAAAGGGTGGTTAATTGTTATAGAGTTAGAGGGAGAATGATGGACTGCCTATAAGGTCTCTCGTGGGTTGCCGTTGGTTCGTCTACATAAGTGACCTCCCTTTGTATATTGCAATCACCCGCTGCTACCAACCAGTGGCGTGGCGTGAATTGCGATGTATCGATTGTTCTGCCATTTGAAACTATGGTAAAAAATCGATTATTAAGGTGTTCGCTGCGAACACCCTGTTTATCGATCCTTTTCCATAGGTTTAAATGGCATGACAATCTATAGCTCGCAAAGCACGCTGCGCCACTGCTACCAACAGGATCGCACTATTTTTCCTTGTCCTCTTTGTCTATCGTTTTGTCTAAAAACTTCAAGAATCAGCCGGCTGGGACCATGATCAGCCTCACTACATCTCACATTGCATAATTTTACATCGTGCTCTATTTTTTTTTAACTGGAAAATAAACCACGCAACGCCTTTAAAGGTTTTGTACATATAGTCTGGATTGTAAAGAATCTGTCGACAAAATTTCAAGCTCTAAAGCTGTTTAGTTTTCTGTTTAAAAAATAAAGCAAGAGAAGAAAAATGGTAACGCGAAATGCAGTGAGACTGAT